CACCAGCCGCTTCCTCCGCCACATCCCTCCAGCACTCCCAGGTCCTGCTGGACCGTGTCAGCTAATTTGCTGCACCATTACGTGCTCCTGCAGTAGTTCCTGTTCTGCAACACCATGAACACGGCGTCAGGGCTTGGAGGAAGGGGGTGGTCAGCAAGATAACACCCCCCCACCCCCAATAAATGCACAGTCCAGCACAGTCCACCCCTCCGAGATGGAGCGTGTGTCCCCGGCCCCGCAGACGCACTGTGCAGACGCAGACCGGGAGTACTCGTCAGGGGGAGCTGGAAGACCAAGCGTGTCCCGTGTCCTGGTTTCGCCTCCTCTGTGGGACTGTTTGCAAGAGGTTTTGGAACCCCCGGGATGAGCCGGCAGCTCGTGACTTTGCCTGTCACAGCCCAGGCTCCCGAGGGACACGGCTGCCTGATCACAGAGGCGAAGCAACCCTTCACCTGTTCCCCATTCCTGGAGTCTTGCCTTTTAGGCCATGAGAGCTGCCAAGTGCCAGGCAGCGCTGGAAACCCAGCCTTTATTTATACGCTCAGATGCGAAGCAAAGCTATTCTGAAGACGGAGCTAATTTTAGCTGGGACAAGGGGAGGGGTTGAGCCACAAACCACGCTTTAAAAATCCGGCTCCACCGGTTTGCAGGTACTTTCTGCAAGACTTCAGGCATCCGATTCCACCCGGAGAGCACAGAAAGCGTTAGTAACAGCGGAGAAGAGTTTCGGGATGGACAGCAAGAGACCCAGGCCCGCTCCGAGATGTCTCCGAGTAATTGAACTCTTGCTGGAGTTGGGTCAGGCTGCTGCTGTTTCCAATTTGAGCTGTAAGGGGGAGGGCGAGGGGAACCTACCAAAAAAAAAAAAAAAAAGCCAAACCCCACGCTTTAGCGCACATGATTCTTCCCCTGGGGAAGGAGGGGAGCGAAGGAGCCAAATGTGACGTGAGTCACTTTGCTCAGCGCGGTAATGGGGGAGCTCCGATCCTCCCCCGTGCTGGGGGGCTCCCAGCCAGAACCAGTTCAGCAGCAGAACTTGACCATTATGTTCCCCGGCCTCCCCAGGGGACGCTGCCGCCATCCCGTTGCTTTTAGAGCTCCTCGCTCTGCATAACAGCCCTGCCTAGATTAAAAATGCAGGAGGGAGAAGAGAGAGACTCAGAAATTGCCTGATGGAATAGCGGAGGGTTGCCAGAAAAGAGGAATTTAATTTCCCAGCTACTGAAAGGGTGCTCCGAAGAGCATAGAGACCTGGGGGAGGAGAGGGCTCTCTGCAGCCAGCGAGGAGGTGGACAGCCTGCGGGGAAAGCTGAGATCAGGGAGTCCGAGCGCTCACGTCTTTTACCTACACTTTCATCCAGAGTTGTACCAAGAAACGCGTAATCTTATTTACGCTTTATTTGGAGTTAATTGATCTTAACTTGATAAATCAACTTAAACCCAATGGAGAAGGCAGCTCCGAGTTAGCTTTAAACAATTACACCAAATCCTCTTGCAGGGCTTTTGCTTAAAGCCTCAGTTTAAGGGGCCCTGGGATACGTGGTTTGGGTTTGGTTTAATCTTCCTCCAATTTGCATTTCAGCGTTTCCAGGGCTCACGCTTTCAATGTCTTCTAGCTAGGAGGACGCAAGAGGTGGAAGCCGCGCAGAGCCGCCCCACATCCATGCTCCCGCCGGCTCACGACTTTCACCTGCCCGGGATACGGCAGTCTGGGTGTCGGACGAGCCACAGACATGGTCCGACTCCAGGTGGATTGCCTCCCCCAGCCCTGTGCTCACACCGCTGACAGAGAAAGTGTTAGTTTTTATCTCTTGCTCGCTATCTTTTACCTTCCTTGCTGACTCAGACGCATCCCTAGCGGCAGTCTCTACCCCGCTGTAAGAGCGGGGCCGGCACCCCATGCTCTCTCCTAACCAGCACACACCAGTGATAGTTCAGTCCAGCTCGGAGCTCCCTCCCCTACCCAGCTCCAGGCTGGCCGAGGCTTCACGGCCAGGCGCAGCACCGCGCCAGGCGACCTCCCGCCGCGCGAGGGGCCCCGAGTTTTGAGGGCAGCCCCACGGAGGAGCTCCGCGGCAGGGAAGAAGGGGACGAGTCCCGCTGGCTCCTGCTCTTGCTTGTCACGCTCGGGCAGAGCCGTCCATGACGGATCCCGGAGAGGATTTTCGGAGGTTGTTTTCCCGTCCGGGAAGGAAAGGGCTCCCCATCCCCAGAGGTGTCCCAAATCGGGACCCCCTTGGTCCAACGCCGGACGGGGACGTCCCCAGCCCGCCCAACGCCCCAGCACATCAACCCGAGGGCCGGGCACTTGACCGCGCACGCC